TTAGACCAGGAGGAGGAGAGAAAGTCGTGCCGACTGTCGGGAGAGTGACCGAAGTGGACAAGCTGAAGGGCCATGACCTGGTAGCACGGGCCATGGGGGAGGTTACAGAGAAGATCACAAACGTCAGACTGTGTGTTCGTGGGATAGATGACTGGGAAGCGAGCAAGAGAATCCTGGAGGAGAACCTGCACAGTGGTAGGATCAAACCCACACTACTGCCGTGTGGAACCCAGGAGAACATCACTAAGGACATGCAGCAGGCTCACCTGGTCCTGATGCCGTCCCGTGCCGAGCCGTTCGGACTGATCGGTCTGGAGGCCATCGCAGCAGGCATCCCTGTACTCATCTCTGACAAGTCAGGGCTGGCAGACATGATCAAGGACTTGATCAAGGAGAAGAAATGCCCTGCAGAAATGAGGCACAGGATCGTGAGAACCAGCGCGAGGGAGTCCGACCTGGGTGAAGATGCAAGAGAGTGGGCAAAGAAGATCACAGACACCTTGGAATACTCTGAGTCAGAATTCGACAAAGCAGCAGAGTACAAGAAGAGGCTGTTGGAGTCCAAGTACTGGGAAGAGTCGCACCAAAACCTGCTGCGGGTCTGTGGCTTGAATGACTGACTCTAGACGCGTCCACTCTCCCACGTGCACGTGTCAGATTCACTAATTGCTGAATTTGATCAACAGGCTTTTAAATGCAATCAGTGCGGTTCAAAAGCAAAGTAGTGACTGACAGTGGCATCATCTATTAGTTGCCATGCACAATTTCAATGTACTAATTTACAATGGCACTGTCTATTGCCTCCATACAGGCCTTATCTATCATGTACGCTTCAATTATTTAGGACGACGTAGCTAGTTGGTCGTGGATTACTTTTTTACATGTAGTCTGATGTCAATAGGAACTTGAAATGACCAAAAAGGCGTAATCTTCAATTTCGTGTAAATTTAATTTTGTATATAAACCTGTATTTGATGGAAAGTCATTCAATGTACATATAAGCATGTCAAGTAATTATGAATGAAGATATTTACAGTACTTTGAAAGAAAATTTTAAACATGAGAAAGAATCTAATGTACACGTTTTTAATTACTATAAGTACTGATTTGTATCCTAGATATTGTGATTGATTAAGTTTAGCATGTGTTAGATGTTGATGTAATATTTACAATACTTTGAAGGAAATTTAGAAGATGGGAAAGAATCTATTGTACACGTTTTAAGTGTTGGAACATCAGTAAGTTTATACTCTGTTATAACTTGAATATTGTTTATTACTTATAAGTACCGATTTGTATCCTTGATAGTGTAAGTTTAACATTTGTTAGATGTAGGTGTAATAATATATTGTGTGTTTTTTTTTGCCTACTAGTATTCTGAAAATTCAAGAGGTACTATTAGCTTTACCTGTTGGTTGAAAATTTGTATCACTCATCGAAGTCCTTTCTAATGTAATTTGCAAAGGTGTAGTGTGCAAATGACTTATAACTTCAGCAAAACTTTGCTGTAAATTTAGCTTTAGATAATTAGTGTCCCAAGCATTTCCAATGTGATTTTTTACGCCTTTCTGTTGTTTTACAAGCTTGAGAAAATAATGGTTTTACAATTGATATTGGATATGTTGTTTGTCCTTATTTCCCTTTTATATATCTTAGCTCCACACAAGTAAAGTATCGACTATATATTGCAGAGAACTTTTCTTCATCAATAGCTTCCCTCTCTTTTACTTATTGACATTCACAATAATGTGACTTTGTAAAGAAGACAAAAAAACACTACCTTATATTGGAACTCTTGCACAACCAAAATAGTTCTCGCTTTCATCATGTAGATGTTAAAAACAAAAGTGCAACCTGCCTGGCAAAATATGGTCATGTTTTGACTTGATTCTGATTGAAATGACAATTTACAATCAGGATATTCTCCGATGTAGCGTTCCCTTGAAGCCCTTCTTGCGTATCATATTTGACTATCAAAAAAGGTCTACCTGGTCCGAGAGACACCAGATAATTATTACAATACATGTATGGTCAAAAAACAGCAAAACAGTCTGTTGTACACACAGTATGGACGGCAAATGCTCAGGCACGGTTCTGGATAGTCCATATCTAGGAAAGTGCCTCGGCCAAATCAATGTCCTTGAATACAAATAGAATATATAATATGAATCGTTTTTCATGTTATCAGCCAAATATCTCCATCGAGTCATCGCTTGTTGTTACTTGAGTAGAACAGGTAAGGGCCTCACACCTTAAAAATGTGAACAATCAAAGAGAAAATGACAGATCTGTATGGCTCGACAAGACAGAAAATAGTTTCTGGTTCGGTCATCCAAGATGGAGGCACTTCGTTTTGTCGGTTTCGTTTTCTAGACAACTTCTAGACGATAATGTACCGTAAATTTTGACTTACACACAATTTTAACTACTTCCGTGGCAGAGCCTCATTTAAACAGTGTCACGGGAAACAGACACCCCCCACCCTACCGGGTGACCCCATTTGAATTTCAGCACATAAACATTAAGCATTTGCGTACACCGCTTATAACACATACATTCATACACACACGGTGCCGTTTCACCTTCCTGCGCGGGACACACCGCCCAAACCGCCGCCAGAACAGCCAGCCAGGCCCCGGTACACCCGCTCACAGAACCCGTTATCCTCTTCATCCCACTCAGGCCCACTCAAGCCGCTCCCTCGGCCTCCAAACGCGCCCGGCCCCGCCAACTGCACACAGCGCCTAGCATGACTACACTGTAGAAAGGAAAAACTGATCTCCTGACGTCACTTGGATCAGTCCATTGTTGTACAGGGGGGTTATTAAGCCTTGTGTGTCTTCGGTGGAGTAAAAGGCAGAATCCTAGAGCTGTAGCTGGGTGTACCGGGAAACACGTACGAGCACTTTAAAGGAAAAAAACTGCTTCCTAAATATTTTGAGTTCAACTTGGTAACTGGTTATTCACGTAAAGTTAGATAATATATAGCTTAGATAAGAAATAATATGAAAGTACTTCCTGACCCACATGATCATTATATACAGACAAACGCAAAACCCAAAAGTCTGGGGATGTCCTATCATTTAATTGAGCCAACTGACAAATTATGAGTATTTTCGGGACCACCTTTGATGTTCAGTGTTAGTAAATACAAACTGCGTCACACCACCGATCTAACGGTCGGCAGGTGATCAAAGTTCAACAACTAACCAGCCGCCATATTGACTAGTCTGGTACATGTACTTCACTCGTCAGCAGACCAGTGACACCTGAGACAACTGAGCCTGTTTTATATAACCAGGCTTGTTTATTGCACCATCTAAAGGTACGAGTCTGCAGGTTACTTCACTCAGGTGAGTTTTCCAACACGCTCCACGTCTGTTAGAGTTTACACCGCAGGTAAGGAATGTTGTATACGTGGCACAGCCATGCCGCCATTTTCTTGTCAAATGACAGAAACTACTTTACTTTTCAGAAATGTCTGCAACTTTACGGTTGGAGAGATAGTCCGTTTCATGACAAGTGAAACATTGATTTTTGAAAAGTAATTTTGTTGATTAGGAAAGTAACAAAGTTACAAACCGATGTTTTACTAGTACTGGTTATCGTTAAAAAAATGGAGGGAGTTTACGACTTCTTATTAACATACATATTCGCAGAGCAGTTGAAAAGTTTGAACTACAATCATTCTATAGTTTTTATACTACATTGTGTTTGGAAAAATTGTAAAAATGCTTAGATTCGCCATCTCATCACTGACCACTATGGAAAGATTATTTATAGCAAACACCTCACAGTGTAATGACCTAAGGTCACACCGTCCCCTCGGCACGTCCGCGTGACGTGTTAATCATTGTACAAACGAATCGAGGTTGGTAAACTCAAGGTGCACTCTGACCCACGTCAAAACAAGATTGTGAGGTGCCGCCCTTATCAACATTAGCAAGGTATGGACTACCAAGACAGACATTTGAGCATAAGAACATATCTTTCTACCACACAGATAGACTGTTGTTTATTTATTAATTAGACAGTATTGACGCTAAGTGTTGATGGCTATGATGGTAACTAAATGGACATTTTCGCTCCTTTGTTGGCACAGTTTGATCCGCAGTATTTAGAAACGCTTTAGAGGTCATGATTGTGAATAAGGAATGTACTGCCGAAACTGCCGCGCGTTCTTATTACTCGGGGCCAAGAATTAGTCGGTGCCGGCCACCCAGGCGACCAAAGAAAAGTGGCCACCTTGCACAGGTGGTCTCCTTGAAGAGTTATAATGTCAAATGCTGTAAATGCATTTGGGGAGATTGGCACATGGAACGATTTACATCGAACAAAAGCATCATCCAGTAATCAAGGCAAACTGGCTGGTTTCTCCATGATTTTTCATTAGTTATCATCAATAATCAACATCAACGAAAATGATGCGGTCACCATGGGCAGGTATCAGGCCTTGAGCGGACCCAATTCAGGGTGGTCGCTGTCGCGTTGGCCAGGTGGTCACCTTGGACAGGTTGCTTAATACTTGTGTCATTGGGGAAAATTTTGGGGACCGAGAGAAAGTGGTCACCATGGACAGGTGGCCTGCTTGAAGAGAGGGGACTCCTTAGCTAGGTAGGTAGACAACGGTTAGGGTGTGAAGTTTCTCTGAGAACTCACCTGTACGTTTTGTGACGTCAGAACTAACATCCTTCGGTTCCTGGAGAGTCTAAGAGCCCTGCAGAGACCTTAAAGACTGGGAAAGGGTCGTCAACCTCTCCCAAGGCACTTGTGGAAAAGTTCAGGTAAACCCGGAAGTAACAGGTGCATAACGGTTCACCTGCCAGATGTAGCAGCGCCTGAAGTACAAAAACTAAAGAAACTTTTACCACAGCCCTTTAGCGCACAGATAAACTGTTCATGTAGAATGAATTAGAAAGTATTGACGCTGTGTCTGTATGGCTGTGAAATTATCGCTCCTTTGTTGGTACAGTTTGATTTACAGTGTTCGGAAACGCTTTAGCGGCCATGATAATTTGTTAATCAGGTATATCCTGGGTAAACCTGAGCGCGCTGTACATGATGCTCGGTACATGATACACTACCATAATATTGTATATATGGAGAGAAATGATATATTTGTGTGTTTGCGCTACAGGAAAGCACTAGATCCATCTAGTCTTAGTTACGACAGGCGTCACTTGGCAGGTGGTGTGTATCTGTAGGGTCAGACCAGGCATGGACGGAAGAGAGCAGGAGACAATGGAGGAAGACGAGGAGTCCGGGTCAGAGGAGGCCGGGTCTGAAGTGTCGAGTTCGGAGGATGAGGATGAAGACGAGAAGGTAGCGTAAAGAAAACATTATAAAGATAGAAGTAATGTTACACACAGACAAGCCCCACAGTGCATATAGTGGTGTATATCTATAACAGGCCTTTTCCTCTAGCCTGATGTAGATGGTCCGTCCACCGTAAGGTGGCCTCCTTGCGGCAGGACAGCTCGGTAGTCTTTTTTACGTCTATCTGTACAAACTTTGATGGGTCTTTTACCTTCGCCAAGAAAGTTATGTTTTCAGTAGCGTTTGTCTGTGTGTGTGTGTGTGTTTGTGGTTTAAAAAGATAACTCAAGAAGCAGTGGATGGATTGGCATGGAACTTGGTAGGTGGGTAGGTCTTCATAAGACCTAGAAATGATTAGATTTTGGGCCCCCTGGCGGCTTTCCAAGGTACTGCAGCAGAATTTCCGGTTTTGATATCTCGTGATCTGGACATGCTAGGGTCATGAATCTTTAATGGCAGATAGTTCTTGGGATAGGGAAGAAGTGACTTGAGTTTGGGTCCCCTAGCGCCTTGTTCTGGAACTGCAGGTGCATTTGTTAAAAATTTTTCGAAGGAGGATAACTAAAAAACCGGTTGACGGATTGTCGTAATTTTTGGTATGTAGGTAGTTGAAATGATGCTTGACATAATCAGATGACAATTATGCAAACCAGGAGCTAATTTGCATAATTAATGAGGAAATTCTATAAATCTGCTTCGATAATAGAACTATGAAACACTTGACATCTACTTGAGAACGAGAAAAACATCTGAGGATATAGATTATGTAAATGAGGACCTAATTTGCATAATTAATGACATATTTTTATAATTTGATAGTTGAACTGCTGGGAATTTCATAGTTGCCACATTTTGAAGTTAAGTGAAGGTGAACATCAATAAACATAATTTATTCAAATCATGTCCTCATTTGCATAATTTATGAGGAAATGCTATAGTAGCCTTTTTGTTAAGATAAGGCTGTCATTGGGTGGAGAATATGATCAACTGATATGATCCATGCAAATGAGGCTCAAAATCAATGATTAGAAATTTTGTGTAATTCGTCCACCACAAGGGTTAACATCATTTGGCGAATGTATGAGATCGTGGAACTCTTGTTTCACATGTGTCATGTTAGGTGTCTGTATACTATGGGCCGTTGAGCCTGAAATAAACAATAAACATATGTGAGCTATGCACAAATAGAGGAGGATAAATTATATATCTTTTTATATCTATAACAGTTACTTTACACTGAGACATGAAAGGAAGTGAAATATCAGTATGTCGGATAAATGAAGGGATAGGTGTTAAATCTTCTCACATGCTGAGTGTTGTTCTGATTGACTGAGTGTTGACAGTTGTTTCTCCTGTTCCTGTCTGCCGCCGCTATAGGCGCTGCGGAAGGCTGCAGAGGAAGGAAACACGGACAGAGTGAAGCAGCTGTTAGCGGAGGGAGTCAACCCTAATGCTGCTGCTGGCATTTCGGTTTGTTACCATGTCTTTCGTCATTTTGCTTATATATGGTGATGAAACAGTTAAGGCTGTACTATGAAAATCAAGAGGCAGGAGGCGAAAACGGCTTAAACGCACCGGACGTTGAAGTAGGTGGACTGACTGCAGTGATACAAGAAATATTTTTGTGTCATTTTACACGATTTGACATTTATCTTCTATATAGCATTTGCTGTTTAAGGTATAACCAACACAAAAATATCACCAAACACACAACAATATACAAATTGCATATTTGTCCGTTACGTTGCAATACTGAAGACTTTTTGATGTGTTTTACAGCAAATGACTCCTCTGCACCGGGCAGCCGGGAGTGGCCACCATGAAACTGTATCGGCTTTACTGACAGCTGGTGCAGATGTGAACGCACGGGACGATGAAGTAGGTAGACTGACTGCTGTGACGCAGAAACATTTTATATCTCTTATGGGATTTGACATCTATCTTCAGCTGTATAGCAGTTTACTTGGTAAATTCCGTTAGAATTGTCAAAAAAATACCTGCACATTTGTCTGACCTGTTGTCATGCTGAAGACCATTTGATCTATTTTAATACAGCAAGCCTCTCCCCTGCACCTGGCAGCCGAGAATGGTCACCATGAAACTGTATCAGTCTTACTGACAGCTGGTGCATTTGTGAACGCACGGGACGATGACGTAGGTAGACGGATTGCTGTGACGCAGAAACATTTTTATGTCTCTTATGGGATTTGACATCTATCTTCAGTTGTATAGCAGTTTACTTGCTGAATTCCGTTAGAATTGTCAACAAAATAACTGCACATTCGTCCGACCTGTCGTCATGCTGAAGGTCATCTGATCTATTTTACAGCAAGAGTCTCCCCTGCACCGGGCAGCCGGAAGTGGCCACCATGAAACTGTATCAGTTTTAATGACAGCTGGTGCAGATGTGAACGCACGGGACGTTGGGGTAGGTAGACTGACTGCTGTGACGCAGAAACATTTTTTATATCTCTTATGGAATTTGACATCTATCTTCAGCTGTATAGCAGTTTACTTGCTGAACTCCGTTAGAATTGTCAACAACATAACCGCACATTTGTCTGACCTGTTGTCATGCTGAAGACCATTTGATCTATTTTAATACAGCAAATCTCTCCCCTGCACCTGACAGCCCTGAATGGCCACCATAAAACTGTATCAGTTTTACTGACAGCTGGTTCAGATGTGGACGCACGGGACGATGACGTAGGTAGACGGATTGCTGTGACGCAGAAACATTTTTATGTCTCTTATGGGATTGACAACTATCTTCAGCTTTATAGCAGTTTACTTGCTGAATTCCGTTAGAATTGTCAACAAAATAACTGCACATTTGTCCGTCCTGTTGTCATGCTGAAGACCATCTGATCTTTTTTTTTACAGCAAGAGTCTCCCCTGCACTGGGCAGCCAGGAGTGGCAGCCATGAAACTGTATCAGTTTTACTGGCAGCTGGTGCAGATGTGAACGCACGGGGCGATGTGGTAGGTAGACTTATTGCTGTGATACAAGACATTTTTTATTTTTATTTTGTAAGATTTGGTATTCATTGTGTACATAGCATTTGCTGTTTAAAATATAACACACAAATTTCACCAACACACAACACTATACGATGTGCATATTTGTATAGCTCTATAGCAGTTTACTTGCTGAATTCCGATAGAATTGTCAACAAAATATCTGGACATTTGTCTGACCTGTGGTCATGCTGAAGACCATCTGATGTGTTTTACAGCAAGACTCTCCCCTGCACCGGGCAGCCCATAATGGCCAACATGAAACTGTGTCAGTTTTACTGACAGCTGGTGCAGATGTGAACGCACGGAACTATTGGGTAGGTAGACTGATTGCTGTAAAACAAGAAATATTTCTGTATCATCTTGTAAGATTTGACATCATCTTCTCAATCTTCTTACTTAGTGGTTTATTTGCTGACTACAATTTAAATTGTTGCCAACATGAAGCTGGTACGGATAGGAACGCATGGGACTATACAGCATATCATCAACTGTCGGAATATATCATACATTTTTTGGTGTCATAAAGCATGGGTTGCACATACATTATTATGCATATGGTGCTCTGTATATGTACAATTTGGGGCTATTTTCGTGCAACGCATGACACCGCAGCAAAACGCAACGAATGCGGAAGTAACTACGCCATCGCATGGCAAAAAAAGCCAGTGGTCGATGACCTGATTAAGACACTAAATTGAAAAATACTGTGCAAAAATGTCAGCTTTAAATCATAGTGCTACCGTTATTATCAATTATTCAAAACAATCGGTATAAAGGTAAAGTTAGGAAATGGTTTCAAGCGAGCTTGGAGTCACTAATATACATTTATAAGGGTTGCTATTTGATCATACTAAAGATGAAACAATTTCACTGTTGATGCCACAACAGGAAGACACACCCCTCCATGACGCAGCTACACAGGGCCACCCCAAGTGTGCGGAAATACTGCTGCAGCACGGGGCTGATGCCGGTCTCAGGAACAAGGTCAGTCGATTCTTCGTCTTCTAACTGACCACCAATCCAGAAATACAATATTGGCATTACTTCTTTTGGGAGAAAAATATCAAAAGTAAGACTTTTTTAAAATGATGATCCTCTTAAATACATACATTACTGCCCGAGGCAAAGAGGAAGCTGTTGTTGGAATAAAAACACAAATCACGATGTGTTCTGATATTCCTGCATCGCATCACATAAACATCTACAAACCAATGTCTTTGTAGACATGAGCTTTGCTGCTGTACCTGCTGTATGTGTTTTATATGCTTCATACTCATTCAGTCGTGTTTATTTCCGATACTTCAACATTCATAGCATAATTGACAGCATGTTTATTCCCAGCATGGTCTAACGGCGGAGGACATCGCTGCAGATGAGGACACCAGTGACGCTCATCCGGACAACAAAGACCGAATTACTCGTGGTAGAAAGGAAATACTGAAGCTTCTCCGACAACAAAATAATGTGAGTCGCTTCCAAACTTACGTGATGCAAAATCATAAAGCATTATGTCTAAAGAATATGATTGAGATGACTGTAAATTTCTTGTCAAACACTTCGGTTCACAAACAACTGCTGATAATATTATTTACTACAAGTTGGGGATGATATAAAGTTGTTTGTTTTAGTTCCCCTGGTAACGTTAGGCATGCTAGTATTTGAATTGCTGTATTCTTCTTGGCAGGCTGGAGAGATATGCATTATGACTAACATCAGAATTGCGTAGAACCATTTAGCTACGAGTGCAGTTGGAAGACATGTTATCTATCCATAGAGATATGTACTTGTATAAATATACATGTCCAATTTCAGCCTACTACAATGACCAGAAGTGTGTCAGAAATGATCTTTGTAGAACCGCCCTCATACCAAACTTAACTCACTTTCACGTGTGCGTGTTTACAGGAAGTCTCGACACGTAAGAAGGAATACGATCCTGTACTCGTCCGGTTCTATGAAGAAAGAGGAATGACTGAGGCGAGGAAGGATCACCCGTTGATACAAGAAGCAGCTAAGGAGAGCGGGAAAACAGTTGACCAAGTCATGGTATTATCAAACATATTACACGTCTTACATTCCTATTGACAAGATAGCTTACTGAGGTCGACCACTATAGTCGATGTTAGTCATAATTATACATGGATGGTTAATAAACATTGTTTCTACATCTATAGGATACTGAACAAGGCCCTCATGGGGCTTCATGTTGTTGTGTATTTCCATGACAGTTACTCTTCTTCCCCAATCCCCATCTACTATTGGCGGCAATATATATCAAACAGGATATCATACATCTAGTCCAACCCCTATGTCTGTAGAACCCCCCCCCCCACAAACCGTCTATCCTCAGTCCCATACCGGGTCTGACAGTATCTTATGTCAGGTTCCAGTGTCGAGACTAGGAGGGGACATCCTCTGATTTGGTTGTATCGAGTTATCATCAAGTTTGGTCAAACATGTCAAATATGATTTTCAGTGGTTCGATAGTGCCTGTTCCGCGTCTATACCTCTATACCGTGTCTCATAGAGAAATTTATAGACAACAAAAAAATGCAGCGACTTTCGTAAGGTAGTCATCTACATGTAGACATGCAGACAGATACGTGGGTACAACAAAATTGACCTACGTACAAGACAATAGATGAATCAAGTTATTGTCCTTTCAGAACTTCATCGGTAACTACCGTAAGAGTAAAGGCGGCAGTAAGAGGAGACCGCCGCCAGACACGATGGAGAGGAAGAGGAGGATCACGGGATATCACGAGTACTACAGGGAACAGCTACCAAGGAAAAGGGGTGAGTTGAAACGGCAGTTATAATTGTTTACGAAAATGTTTAACTATTACAATAGCAACATTCAGTCGATCATTTTATTATCCTCTCGAATACTTCAGTTGTAGTAAATGGACCGGTAAAAGTTTATCTTCACATGGTGTCTCTCTATATGCATGTATATAATGACCAGACTCGTCAACTCTGCCCTGCTACAAAATGTAACCGAACGCCACATAGTGTCTGCTACAGCACTAGTTACCATGGTGACAGACGTCTGTTTCATGCCATTGATCTGATGTGTTTGGAGAAGAAAAAGACGAAACAGAGCATAAACAATATGTTTTCCTCTTAAGCATAATAATGCTTCCTGTGTCTATATTATGTCAATGAAGTTCACATAATAATTTCATGAATTCTCTTTTCAAATGTTTGCCAAGTTCACCAAAACGTATTTTTCTAGTATTTAACTAACTGCATGTTTTGTGACTGTCTTACCATAGCATACTGTAGGTACATTTTAGATACGGAGTTAGTATCGCTTACGAAAAATATTCGAAACATCAACTTTATGGACATCCACTGAAGTACCGTGTATTGTACTACGTAAACGGTATCTAACACTTCTTCATCTTGCATTTTCCTTCAGCCAACCAAGAATTCTCCCTTGCCGGTGCCAATAGGGAAATCGGTGAGAGCTGGAAGAACCTGACTGACGAGGAAAAGGAGGGATACAACAAAGCAGCAGAGAGGAGAAGGGGCAAAGAGACGAAAGTGAAAACTTGGTCCGAAGTGGCGAAAAAGCTGAAACAGCTCGAAAAACTGGTGAGTGTAAGAATACGAACATGTTTCTGGACACTTGAAGGATTTTAAAGAGTAGTCATTCAAAGGAGTTACGTAAAATGCCATAGACATCCTTTGAGTCAAGTTGACAGATGCTTACGATCCATTCCTTTGTTATCCCTTATTTGTATCTGAAAAAGGTATTAGTATGTAGGTTCCACCCAGTAAACGCAGTATTTGTTGATATCATTAACTTCTCAACATATGTACATGGAAAATAGATTAAAATGTCAACAGAATGATGCATTTATCTACTAAAAGTTTGCCCAATATAGAAGAATTGCGTCCAAGCATTATCATTTGGAAAGTACATGTATATAAAATACAATTGGAGCTTTGTTGTTACTTTTAGTCCAAGGAGCTTGACGAAATTGGTGTGGAGGCTTTGATGGTTACTCTCTACAATGGAAGGATTCGAGCGTTCGGGTCCCAGAAGGATCTGGTAAAGGACGAGACGTTCGGGGGCTACATCGAGAATCAGCTGAAAGCAGCAGAACATCAGCGGAAAGCAGCACAATGTGAGCCAGCCATCTCCTACATTGGTCATGAAGCATTTCTGTTAACATAGCAAAAATACAAATACAATCCATCTATGATCTAACTATAACTAGTTGGCTCAGTGGGTTGTCATTAGCAAACTATGTATAGTGATTGAGGTGCCATTTGATAGCTATTATCATTATATTATCAATTATTACTATTATCAATGGTTTATTGTGGCGACTCAAAACGACCATACAGTGGCAGCTTTTTAGCTCAATCATAGTGTGGCATTCAAAGAGATAATATTTACACACAATACAACTTAAAATGCCTTACGTTAGGCCTGCACATATTAAAACCATTTCATTAATGTATTAAAACGTATATATACATCAATCTAGCAGGTAATCATGGTAGATGGGCAACACCTGTACATGTCATGTTTCATTAAGTAGATCAACCAGGAAAGGCAGTGTAGTCTAGCGATACCTCTCAGTTCTACATTTGAATTGTGTTACATTACTTTTTTATGTAAGATTCCTCTCATGCAGGCTTACACGGTTCGGGGGCAGCCATGTCGAAAAAGTTGTAGAATTCAGTTCTATTGCTATCTTGATATATATCTATCTGTACAGGTTTAACAATGGACAGACGCCGAAAGAATTCGGACAGAGAGGGCAGCACAGGATCGACTGGAGAGAGCCATGACGTAAACGGAAGGCCAGGGAGCAGCACCAGATCAGTCAGTAAGAGAAGGAAGAAGAACAAAGAGGCACAGCAGGGCAAACAGCAACATTCCAGTTCTACTGCCTCTTTACCGTCGGCATCTTCAACACCACTAGGTAAGCAGTCCATTTAGTTAGTATACATACAAAGTACCAAATTGAGCTTCAATCCGTATATCTATGGTATTGTTCATAGGAACTCCTCAACACAATTTCTATTCACAAATCATTAACAGTCTGCTATCTGCTACACACGAATCTTGCCTAGTATGTAGTTGTAGTTGTGTATTGCTTCATTTCGCCCGCTTGGTGTCATGGTGTAATTTGTACTTATCACAGCACCCAACATAATTAATGCTATACTTACATAAAATGAAGCAGTGGACGTTTCCAATTTTGGTCCTTTTTCAAATATCAATTTGGATTTTACCATGATAAATATTCACTGAAGGAGGGCATAACATATCTTGAACAAGGATATGAATGTAACTATGTGTGTACGTATGTAATAAAATGTATGGATTCCTTTTCCAGTTGAAGTCACTTGCAAAAATGTGTTTTTGTTTCTCCAGAGACAGCAGTCACAACAGAAGGACGTCTACCCAGAACAACAAACATACCACACAACACAGGGACTCCTGTACATGTGGTATTACCAAACAGAGCAACATCTACCCCTGCCCGACCAAACACAGGGAATCTTGAACTTCTGGCACAGCAGTCAGCAACACATCCAGATCTACACAACTCTTTCCCTGCATCACCACACAACACAGGGACTCCTGTACAGCTAGCACCAGAAACAACTCCAACAGAATCGCAGACAGGTTTTCACTACTTGTACAGATCCAACATGCCTCTTGAACTTCTGGTACCGCAAACAACTCAAACAACATTTGCTGTTCGTCAAGTGCCTACAGGTGTGGACAATTTCAATTCCTTTGGACTTCCCGACAGAACAGCATCACTGAGCCTACCTGCTGCCCTGCCAACATTTCAAATGCAAGGTTGGTACCTGTAGTTGGTTTGGAACATCCATACCTTTGTCAGAAGCTGTTTGACAGACTTTGCCAATATTTTCTTTGTCTCTGCCTTCCTACAACAATTCTATACATATGACTCTACATACACTGATTGTTGGTACTGGCTGGTACAAGAGGTGTGTTAAGTTTATTTGGTATTTATCTTGCCAACCTATTGTTTCACATTCCATAACAACAGTCTTCGGTATTGTGACCTATTTCATTCAATATTTGAAGTGAACCAGCATTGGTCTATGAAATTTTTAAGTCAGTCTTTGGGATGTTCGTATATCAACTATAAAACTATTCCCTGTTAGGATCAACAACCGTGACAACAGGGGGACTCCCACACACGACACCACAGATCCCCACAGCAGCGAGCCTAGGGACTCCTGTACCATCCCAGGTGACTCCAACGGTTCGTCAGGCACCTACAGGAGTCGGGACCACAAACGAACAGTTTCCTCCCAGCCCGTTAGTATTTCCAATGCCTCATCATCGCTAGATACAAGCACATATCTCAATACATGTATATGCCATTATGGAAGTTGTTGTTCAGTAAATATGTTTTAATATGCTCTATCACATAAATTACATATACATAACAATGTATTAAAAG